AAAAAAAAAAAAAAAAAACTGTCAGGAAGTATACCGGCGGATCTGCATCTTTTCCACCGGCAGCCGCAGCAGCACCAAAACCACCACCAAGCACACCAACACCCACACAAAAAAAGATGTCCAGAAGTATGACGGGGGATCTAAATCTTTTGTTCGTTGTCATGCCGGCCCTTTTCCATGACACACATAAACCAGCAGATGCTAAGCCCAAACCCCTAATCCTTTGACACTTGCAGGACCTTTGCGCTAGTCCCTCCGGGAAAAGAGAGCTCTCGAAGTAACACTTTGAGCTCTCGAATCGCAGGTGATGCGCACGGCTCCGAGGTTTTCATGTCTAGTGTCTAGGGCCTTTTAGGAGTCTAATACATTCAGCATGAGGTAGAGGATCGACATTAGTCTGGCCCAATTGCATTCCCCTTGCCTGAGATGCGTGGCTGACGACAACTCTCACAACCAGAATCGAATTACGCACGTACCCAACGAACAGTATTGAATCCCTACCTAGCCCTCGTCCTAGGGATCCCAAATTCCAGAAAACCTCACAGGTATCTTTATCCAACAACTTCAGAATCATTGGGACTGGATAGCATTCGACACGGCGTGCCCCAGTCCAAGATAAGCACCCGCCCTTAGGCTAAAGCTGGCAACCACAAACCCGGAAATGGCGCACAAGGAAAGGCGTTAATCCAGCCGCGAAATTTCAAATCCAAAACTAAACCCGACTTCTGCGGTTCAAGGAAGGATTATTCTCATCTCTTGAACTCTCAGCCTGTAGCAGTTCGCTCAAGAGCTCCTCTATACATTCACGTACCTCCAACGCAACTTCAAGCCTGGACGTACTTGACAAGGAGAACTACTTGTTGAATGTTTGAGTGGCCTCAAGAAAGTCTCAATCCTTCCTTCGACCCTTGCAAACCATGTAATGCAATCGCAGTGGCTACAAATGCCCTGGAGCAACAACCCGTTGGCAGTTGTTTTGGGAGCGTAGTAAACTACTTTGCAGGCCCCAAATAGGCTAAACCTCGGCCAGGGCGGCTGCCAGCATCACCCGCAAACGCTCACAAGTAGCGAAAGGCGTCGCTGCGAAGGGTTGGCAATGGCTAAACAGGTATGTATCCAACGTATCCAACGCTAATCCAATCTACAGTGGAATGAACCCAGCACCTATGTTCTCTGACCTGCTCTGAAATTGACTGTTTGCGATTCCAGGGCAATGGCAGCAGTGCAAATACTGAGGAGCAGCCGCAATAATCGGCACTAAGCATCATGAATGTGACAGAGCCCTAATCCATAAACCGGAATCCCAGGACTCGGAAGCACAGACATCCCGATGAAGGCAACGCAATCCAAAAGAACAACCTGTAAGTTGGCCAAGCTCCGTACCAACTAAGGGCTGAAGGTCTAGAGTTCGAGGATGAGGGGTTATTGCTTAAAAGCTGTGGCAGAAGAACTTGCATCTTAGTGCCATTCCGGGAGCATCCTGTGATCAACTTCTCTTCTATGAAGACCGAGAGTGGCACACTTGCATGCATTTTACATCATCATCTTCTTCTTCATCATCATCATCATCACCATATAAGTGCGCGGGAACTTGGGAGGGGAGGTCGCAGCAGTTGACAACGAAACAGGCCCGAGGAAAATTCTTACATTTGCCCGCGCTTCTCATTGTTTCAATACCACAAAAGCGGAAGTGCATGTTTCACGTTCTTGCCACGCTAAAGTCTACAGGCACAAGCTTCGCCAGCCTCTACAAGCAGCTTTCAGGTATGTCTATGGTCAATATCATACTGCATCAAAGCCACTGTATGTGGAGGTTTCCAGAATAAACCTTCACTTAGAGCCTACCAACCAAAGGAAGCACTTTGGCTCGGACCTGCTACAAACTGCCTGATGCTTCATGGGGAATGAGGGGGGGCGTGCATGCGGTGGCCTCCATGTAAGCCCAATAACTATTCCCCATGATGTATTCCGCCACTTTCTCGTTTGGAGAAATAATGAGGATGCATCAGGCGCTACCTTGTCAATGGGGAATGGAGGCATCTCGGTGCCCACAAGGACCCATGTGACCGATCATTGGTTGTAAGAGTCAGACGACAAGCCTTTCGCTGCATAATCCATTCCGAGCTCGAAGCTATTCAAGCTCAACTTCGTGTGGCTGATGTTGTCGCCTGCCTCAGACTCAAAGCTCTGAAACCATTGACAGCCCGATGCATGCCCCGCTGCACGACGTAACGGACCAGAACACTGCTGAGCCCAAAGCTTAAGACAAGTGAGTAACTTCAATCTACAACGTATACAGATCTTGCGAGTAGTCTGAGGCACTATTGAAACTACCTTCCTGTAAACACCCCACACGCAGGCCTTCTCTTTCAAGCCAGTAGGGCACTTATGAGAGTCACAAAGTTCAAACTACCCACCCTACGGACTGCTGGACTTGCCATTTAGGGCTCTTCTTGAAATGCATGGGACCTAAGAAGGACCGAATCTCTGACTCTTGAACCTGTGAATCCCAATCTCAAAAACATAAACCCTGATTTGTGGCGCGGCATGCTTCCATGAACACACACACACATACGCACAGCGTGAAAAAAAAACATAACATGACATGACATACTTAACAAAAAAAGCATCTGCTTGCCTTTACTTTCAGGTCAAGGGCTCAAAGATGCCGTCAACACCACGCAGCGCCAGCCTCGCTCAGCAGCAACCGGACGACTTCTTCTTCTTGCTCCTTGGCTCAAAAGGGGCGCGGATATTCGACAAGGGCTTGGGAAAGTTTGTATTCGAACTTGACTGGACCAAACTCGAACCATTGTGTGCTTACTTAAGGGTTGAAAGTTCCAAGTAAGATCAAGAGTCGTCCTATTCTTGCTACCCACAAGGGCTCCCTGCACATTCGGGGGTGTTCTCAACATGATCGATCCCTTTTGGGAGTCTTTTGGTGATGCTCATGGTGAGGGTCCTGGCATTTGGGGTCTCAGCTGCGAGCAAAGCACAAGCAATCCATCAAAAAAAGCATAGAACCGGTAATCCAAAAGGCAGTCCCAACCCTCAACCGTAGACCTTCGCGTTGACAATCACTTCGCAGCATCAGGGTAGCCATCCTGCAGAGTGGAGTTGCCAGTTTGGGGCATGATTGGCACTACCAAAGGAGCCTAGGTCGGCACCCTAAACTGCGTGTTTTGAGGTGTACACCCCAGAAACCTAGACTTCTACACTCGCAGCTGCTGCACCTGCATCCGGCATTCTGTTACCCCCAGTCACCCAAAGCCATGACCCCAGAACCCGAACCCGCGAACCTTTTTCCCTGGAAGAGTTTGGGCCATGGTGCTTCTTCTTGTCCTTCGCAGCGCCTGGGGGGGCTGCTACGCCTGGACTGTGGTTGAAGGTTTACCGATCATACTAGGGTGCGGGCGCAGGGCCCATGGACTTAGATCTTGGGGCTACAGATGGATTTAACACAGGGCTCTAGGGGGAGATAAGATTTAGGAGCCTGAAGGTCGGGCAAATGGTTTGCCAACTAATTAGACAAAGATTGAAAACCCGTACTTTCTTTGTTTAGGGTCCTCAAATGTCTAGGCCTGGCTGTTTAGGGCTTCTGGTTTGCAAATTTGGGGCTATGAGTTCGCCGCTGTGATTCTGAGCATCGGGGTTGTCGGCTCATGCCTTAGAGTTTAAAGTTTAGATTCTGGCATTTCGAGGTTACGGCTTGGCAACTTGAAGCGGTTTTATTTCAAGTCCTAGCTTGAGACTGGGGTTTGCGGCCATGCTTTTGGGGTTAGGGTTTAGGCGTGCTTCATGGGATCTGGCATTCGGGGCTGAGGATCTGGGCTTTGGATTGGGCAGGCCTGGCTAAAAAAACACTGGAATTTCTGGCTGTGATGCCCATGACAGCAGGAAAAAGACATGTTTAAATCCACAACCAGCACGTAACAAATACTCTCACCGCAACAAACTGAAAAAAAATGCAAGGACTCTTTGAACGTGGACTTAAGATTGCAAGCTCGGTGCGGCTGGTCCGGAGCTCCTATTTTACAGAGTTCTGGAGGTGAAATGCTTGAAGGAACGAAAGGATTAGAGCCCGGGCAACCCCAAGGCCCCTGAGGTCCCTGACAGCAGGAGCTCATGAACTGGCCTGCGAACTTCATGGCTTTCACTGCCTCCGTCATGGCATGTTCCGCCTGCAGAATGAGGTTCTTAGGGCTAAGGTCTTCAAGAGGCCAGCCTTGGAAGGGGCTTGGCGTTTGCAGCCTTCAGGTGCCAAACCTATACACCTAACCTTTCCTAATACCCTAAGCCAAGACTGTAAATCCTGCAACCTCTCTCCCCAGAAGCAGACACACGCAAACAACCCAAAATCCTGAACCCCTTAACCCTCCTGAAACATTTATCCCAAACCCCAAAACCTAGCATACCCGCAAAATGTATGCCCCTAACTGCCCAAAACCTGAGCCAACACATGCCCCTCAACCCTTAGATTGTATGCTGCCCAGCCTCCTTCCCCAAAAGCCATACTCCCAAACACGCCTAGACATTGAAACAAACTTTTCACCAGCAAAATCTGCCTTGGGCTCGGTGTGGCCCTCTGGATGAGCCACTGGCATGAAGCCCGGAGGCAGGGGTTCACCGGGTGCAAACCTTGCAATGACAGTTTTCAGGTTGTTGGACTTTGGGATGTGTGTTGTTCAGCATCTGAGGGATGATTGATCAAGAATTTCCGGTCGTACTAAGACTACTACGTGTCACGCAGGGCACTTTCTTCTCTAGGAACATGCTTCAGTTTTGCTGAAAAACTCTCGACGTTCATAGCGCCACAGGCCATAGGCTGAAACGCGTGGGAGAAACAGAGGGATGTCGGGCTCAGTAAAATTACAGCTTCCTGACATTTGATGCTGGGTTTTGTTGGAACATACACCTTTTTTCCAGCTAGCAGTTGCATTCCCAAAACAAACTCGCTCTCGGAGAGCCCCGCAATCAACACGCCTTAAAGGATGTTCTTTAGGTAGACTCAGGTAGACATTTCAGCTGCTCCAAAGAAAGTGTGCTTCTCAAGATTAACGCGCCGTACCCATTGGGCAGCTTACAAATAAATGGGCAAGTTACAAATGAAATGCCTACTACAAACACCATAGATGCTGTAGGGTGCAAGATTTAGTTTGTAAGGGTTACTTAGTTGGGATCCCTGTGATCCCTCCTGGAGCTTGAAAGGACTATGCGAGATCACAGCAAAGATGTGTTGTCTCACTATTTGTTCAAAGTCTGGCCTCACAGGCCACTCAACGAAAAAATGCGGATAGTGCATGCTGTCTATGAAGCTCATTCCGCGGAGGGCTCAGGATTTTGAGGGGTTGAAGGCTTGGGGTGTGGGCGTCGCGTCCTACTTCTTCCTTCAGAGCGCAACTGATTTTTTGTCATTCACACAAGCCCTATTCTTGACCCTTCTAGCCTCATGGCAGCATTTCAGCAGAACCTTCTTCCCTATAGTTGCCCCTAATTGGAATTCTCTGCCAAACAAGGCTACGTTACATGGAACATTCAATCATGCACGGGTGCGGGCTGTGTAACATTATTGGATAAAGATGACATCAAAATCTAGCTCCTTCCCAATCCATAGCCCCCGACTCCGCATGGTTTCTGGGCTCCAAGGTGTTAGACTTTTTGGATCATATCTTGAGGCCTGATCATACATGCTGCAATCTCAAACCTCCGTCTTCAGACACCACAAAGAATATTTGGATCTTCTGACACAAAGCGAAGCAAAATTTGCGCCTGTAATCCCGCCCGAATACCTGAGTGCGGCGCCATCTTCCCTGACTGTGATCCAATGTTTGTGGCGCGTAAGTGATGGGACCTGGATTTGGGTTTATGGTTCCAGGATGCCCAAAATTAGGAAAGACTTGTTTTAGGATACAAGCATCTGAACATGCATTCAGGCCATGAACTTCTGTGATTTCAAATGGTTACCACAAGTGTGTGTGAAAGCAAATGGAGGGGATTGGCAGTTGAGGAAGGCTATGGTGGCTGCTTGCGTTTGCAAAAACCAAAGAGGAGCTGGTCTGGCACCTTCAAAAACATGATTAGCAATGGCTGGTGAAGGAACTTAAACTTTTAGCATCTCGACGATTTGCTTCCGCCGCTCAATGTTAGTGGTGTCTCAAAATACCTGAGCTCAAAATGCCTGAGCGCTAATGCTCGCAACCTACATCCAACAAACACTACAAACCCTCTACCCCAAAATCCGAATCTTGAACCCCTAAGCCCACCTAAAGCTCTGCTAAAGCTCTGGCATCGAGGAGCCATAGCTCATGACCATTGATTGTGCCTGAGGCAGTCCGGCAGCCTTCGCATTGGGTTTACATGTTGTACTTACAGGCGCCATTGAGCCTAGGCCGATCTACCAGAACAAGGCAAATAGTATTCACTCTACACATACATATCATGTCAAGGTAACTTGGCTGAACTTCCCTAGTTTAAAGTCACCTGTTTGAGGGTATAAGGGTTTCAGGGAAACAAGCGTCGGCCACATGATCAGAGTTCGGCGTTGTAGGTCTTGGGTTTAGCCGGGTCGTCTCAGGTTTAGGGCGTCGTGCCTCAAACCGTTATCCCTGAGTTCGACTGAAGATCCCTCGCACATCAGTCCCATGAAGACGCGACATGTAAGTATTCAATCTGCCAATCAGAAGTGCCTGGGACACATAGGTAACCGCAGGGGCTGCTGCAGCGGCCGAGTCGGGATACCTGTTTTGCTGGTCTATTGTCCAGTGGATCCACAAGATCTGACATTTCGACCAATCCAAAACTCGCAGTGCACGGACTTCAGCACTTCTGCCAGTTTGAGCCCCGTCAGCAACTGGAGCTGCAGCAATCTCAAAGGCAGTACAAACTTAGGAAGCTTACTCCTTCCTCCTATTCGAGGTCCTGAGGCCGGCAAAACCTTGTTTTTGAGACAGCCCCTTCATGTTGCGCCTACCCTAGGCGCATAAAGAGTTTCAGGAGCAAGCCATGCTTTCAACAGTCGGCCTAGATTCTGCCAAACTTCTGAACCCTGACACCCACAAATCTATATCTGTCACCTTGTCTTCTGAGCCTGTGAACTTGAGACCCCAGATATCTAAACCACAGAGAACACTCAGAAAGGCCAGGGTACGTCACGATGGGTTGCGCTGCCGCAGAACTGGTGTAGGTCGCGACTGCCCTCACGGAGCCAGGAAGCTTTGAGAAAGTCATAGGGCTTGGCTCTGAAAATCCCAGAAGTTGCCTCTGTACGTCAGCTGTTCCACGACTGAGAGCAACCAACAGGCCACATATTTGGTAAAACAAGCATGGGTTTCGGGTCTAGGGCTACTGGACATGACGGCTAGCTTCATAGCAGGTGATACTACTGCTACTGCTTGTATGCCCTTGTTCGGGCCATGCGTTGAGAGACCATGGACTTCGGCGATACATGATGACCCATATACTCACCCAACAGCATTCCACATGTACCCCTCGCGAGGCGCCCCAGAACCTTTTACAGACCCTCGCGTCCGCCAAAGTGGAAAACAGCGCCTACTCCGCCTTGAACTGATGAAACCCGGATGTTAAAGATGAAGTTGTGCCCGCTTCTTTGAGAAAGGTGTGCACGATGGCTCCCACCCCAATAATTGATTACCCTTGGCCATGCATTGTGGGAGGCTTTTTCAAACACCACGAACCTTGATTTGCATATCAGGGTTATGTAGGGCACACAGATAGGTAGGCAGTCTCTGGGCTCTGCCGCAACCTGGGCCTAAACCCTGAAGGTTGGACCAGAAACCTCAGACCATAACACCTCAACCCTGCATCCTCTCAACCTAAACCCCAAGCCCCTAAACACGAAGAACCAGTCCCAAAAACTAAACCTTAGATCCTCGAAACCAAGCCCTGAAAGGCACCGCCCGGGATGCAAACTGCAAGGCCTCAAGCTTAAGGTCCCTATCTTGATCCCCAAATAGTTTAGAGTTAGGTTATGGTATTTCAGGCTCAAGCTTAAAGGCTAAGATCCGAGCTTGAAATATGGGTCCCGGGAATTCACAAAGCCATTCTGAGGGCTAGCGGCTATGGCCATATTGCAAAAAGCACACGCAGGAATACTGTTGGAAATCGTTAGGACGCTGTTGCACGGAACCCTAAACTACATGGTAGTACTCATGTTGTGCTGGGTTCAGTTGCTGCTTACAGTACCAAGCCTCAATACTCTATCATTCTAGCGTTGACCATGGAAGCTTCGCTCTGAAAACAGGGTCTGCTGCATGACACGTGTACTTCCAACAATGCCAAAACACTTCATATAAAGACCATGAACGCGACCCCTCAGTCAAACTCCCCCATTCTTTCGGCAACAACATTCAGCTGGGGCACGGAACTGTAGCCATGATCGAGAAGCACAAGACTAAGGACGTGGGGAAAAGTGCACTTAGAGCACAAGCAGCTGCAGCAGCTTGGAGTGTAATGCCTAGATATATAGGGATCAAAACTACTAGGCAAATTAGAATGTTTCGATACGTTAAGATTTCCTGAAGAAGAACTTCAAGCAGATAACACTTGCCAAACGTCCAAGTGTGGGAAGCCCCACCGATTAGGCCTGTACAACGGCCACAACAACATTTGTTTAGGGTTTGAGGATTTCAGGTGCAGGGTTTTAAGTTGAAAGATTCAAGGCTTGCTCTGTACCCGAGCCAGCAGTGCAAGCTGGAACACAGTTTCCAGTGCAAACCATCAACGCTGAAAACTACGCTCCCCCAAACATGAAACCTGACAGGAGGCTCCTTACATAGGCGGTGAATCAAGTTGGGTCTTTCTACCGATAGGCTAACAATAAGTCATGTGTGGAATTCCTTGACGGCTACCAACGGGATAAGAGAAATTCTCACTCTTTGTTCATCAAAGCTTGTCGAGCTTGATATGAAAAATCTTGAGCGTGAAACCCAACATCAAGCAAGCACCATGCGCTCACATCATGGCCACAACTGTTGCGAAAATGGAGCCTCAAGAGCTCTACTTTACATATCCTCTACAACGCGCGTACCCTCTTGTCTCGAATGCTTGGAAGATTCGTAAAATTGAGGCTTCTGATCGGTGTCGTGAATCCCCAATGCCCGATTTATCAGCCCCTCCTCCCACGTTATCATCCTTGTAGAGGGATGCTTCTGAAAGCTCTACAGCCACGACCCTAAACCCAAAATGCTCTACCTTCTACCCTTGAACATCTACCTTCTACTCTCTACCCTCAACTCTCTGCTCTCTACTTTACCCTGCAACCTCATAAACCCCAAACCCAACACAAACCGCCAGGCCCGGGGCAAAGAGTGCTTCTGCCCTGCCTGGCAAGCGCAAGCTTCAGTGATGAGGAATCCAGGATTTGGAAACTTAGAACAAGTGTACACGCGGTTGAGGATGTAGGGCTGGAAGGGAAGCGGAAGAAAAAGAACAGCTTGCTGGACCAGGAGGCAGAGGCAGAGGAGGAAGAGGAGCGGTGCAACAGCCGGACCCTTCCCATGGATGTTCAATATGGATCCAATGTGGGCACTATGTCATGCTGAGGAGGTGGGCGGTTTCTTTTTACTATGAAGGCGGGATGTATGCACATTATGCAACGAGTGCGCGAACAAGACAGAAGATTGCACAAGTAAACACAGATATCAGTTCGGGAACCTTCAGCTTGTCTCAGGCGGCTCTCTGCTGAGGGATGATAACGTCTAGTGGCATTGAAGCTTGCAATTTGCTGCATTCGATGTTTTCGCACAAGGTCACGAGAAATTGGTGTGACGTGCTACAGCGCGATGCAATGTATCATCATCTGCTTAAACTCCCCAGACAAACACGGAATCTGGAAAAAGCACCCTCGCTCACTTCTTTTGTTTTGGAAAAGGCCTTCTGGAACCTTGTGCCCTACAAACTAGAGACTCTCGAAAGGAATTCCTCATCGCCGGGAATTGCCGAAGACTACACAGGCTTGTGTACAGCCAAGACCAAACCCTTTATCACACATGAATTACTCCAACAATCTCACACCTTACATGGATGTTGCCTGGTCCATTTGATTCCCAAGCCTGGAATTGTCCAGCGAACAGGTCTCCAAGCTACAGGATTGAAGGTTTCTCAAGGCTTTAAGTCAGAGTCATAGACTTCAGGGGCTAGGGCGCGGGAAGTAGAAAAAGGTGTCAGGCCAATGGTGAAACCACTTTCCTCAGAACGTCGCATGCGTCATGTATCATCTACATCAAAATGACGAGAAATGAGAAGGTGCACGAGCTATGTTGGATGCTTCACCCTACGTAGTGAATCCTCTTTTGGGCTGTGTGAGCAATTACATGTGTCACCTTGCACGTTCTGTGGTGAACTTAAAGTGAAGAGGCACCAGTCATGTCTCCTGATCTAAGGACCTACAGAGCACAGCAACATCTTTGAATAAAGCTTCAAATAGAAAGCAGGGAATGCTCAGGACTTGGAGCTAGGATGTCGCGAAACGCTTGTGTAATCCATAATGACAGAAATGCAGCGCGATGGAATATCTATGTAGATATGTGTATAAATGGAATGTATACATTCTAACTTGCTGTATCTTGCGTGCTGACATACGAGACTAGCAGTGAAGAGTGGAACCGATTGAGAAGACTCATGGCCGAACAGGCTTGACATGGCATGGCATGGTCTATGCTTTGGGAAGCTAGCTTGGAACCTGAGCGGTTAGGCCAAGGTTGTGAGGAACTATGTGGGCTCGTTGCAATGTAGGTCCAGGTTGTCGAGGCAACATCCCCATAGATATTAGTAGTTCCGGCCTGGGGCCTCGAGCTTCGGGCATTAAAGTGTAGGTCTCACGGCCGAGCGAGGATTAATGTCAGGGATTTGTTCTTTGCATTAGGGTGCCAGAGGGGCGGAAGCCGCAGTCTAGAGTTTAGAGTTCAAGATTTAGCGCGGGATTGAAATTTTAGGGGGTGTAGAGTTAGTGCTTAAAATAAGGAAAAAGTTTTGACTAAATTTAGCAGTGTTGGGCTCTCCGGGTGGTTTTCGTCTTCTCCTGCAGCGTGATTGGACATGGATTCGCTATGAAAGGATGAACCTTTCACCGCTAGCCGTCCCAGCCTATCGTCGACTTACCTTAGGTTTGAGGCCTTGACGCATGCTCTTCCCGAACTCCACATTCCACTTCCCGTCTCGCACGACATGCAACCCGTGACGTGATCGATTGAATGGCATCCTCCCTGCATGCTGGATCCCTCAAGAGACAAAGACACGCGCCAAACTCAACCACAGGTTGAAACCCTGGGTTCGGCTTTGCAGCAGGGTTCTGCCCCGCAGAACAAAGCATTAATGTTTCTGATTACGACGCCGAATGGCATTCTCCCTGTAGCTATGCATAGGGGATCGATGCTAGTTTGGGGATACAAGCCTTCCTCTAACATCCAAACTCCAAACCCCAAGCCCAAGGTCAAATGCGGCCAGCAGTGCGGTAGATGTGCCAAAAGGCGTTCCACCCATCCCATGGCAGAAGTTAGTTTGCTTGATCGTCTCTACCCCTTGGCTGATGCACAGGCCTGATTAGCTGAGGCTGACCAATGATTTTCGGCTTTTGGTAACATTTGTGTTCAATTGCTCGGCTTTCTACAAGAGATTTCTGCACGATGACCCCCTGGTGGCATTCTGAACAACTGCCAGAAGCTTGTCTTCACGTAGTGACTTTTGGGCAAGGATTCAAAAAACGGTTTCAAGCTCTAGCTTGTTGGAACTCTATCTTTCGTTCACGGCTATGCTGCCACTTCATATGCAGTATTTCCTTCGGCTCGGGACCATGCTTCTGCGGCGCGTCTTCCCATCCCAAGCCGGAAAGCCTCGTAAATCCTAAGCCGATGGAGAGAACCAAACTAAAGCTGAAGCCCCACCCCCCAGCACCTTACAAACCTTAAAAGGGCACCCAAAGGCATGGGCCAGCGAGGCAACGGGCGAAGTTGAAAACGTCAAGCCGCTTGTCATCAGGTGCAGAGCATAGAGAGGGGGGGGCTTGAGATGCTTTGGGCATTGGTTTTTTTGGAGTGTCGAAGAGGACTGCGCACTACAGAAAGCATCTCAGCAATCGAGGAGCACATGAGGCGGCTGGCATAGCAGTAAAACCACACTGTCCAAACTTGAGGATCGGAAGAAATCGCGCTACTAATTCTCAAGCGTAGTCTGGATCAG